GGAGGACGAGTGGTGGAGCGGCAGAAAGAGGAGGAGGAGGAGGAGGGGGAGGAGGAGGAGGGGAGGAGGAGGAGGAGGAGGGGGAGGAGGAGGAGGAGGGGGAGGAGGAGGAGGAGCAGGAGGAGGAGGACGAGGAGGAGGAGGAGGAGGGCGCCGTCGGGGGACGGCGAAGAATGTTGCAGCGGGTTGCAGCGGGTCGCAACGGGGCACGCGAACGTAAGTAAGTCTTAGGGGATGCACCAAAGCCCGGGTTCGCAACAGATTTCCGGGATTCGTGGTTGAGATCCTACGATTGGGCTCAGTTTGGTGGAAAACGCCGTGTGAGCCTTGTTGGAGCCTTGCATGGTGGGCCGGCCGGCTTGGGCAGTCTCGAGCCGTCTTGGGGCCATCTTGGGCCGTGTTGGAGGCTTGGGCCCTCTAGGGACCTTACGAGGGCTACGTAGGCCCTCCTGTTGGCCTCCCATGGCCTTTTGGGGTGCCTCCCATGGCGTTCTTGGGCTTCTCTTAGGGGCCTTGTGAAGGCCTCTTGGGCCTCTTTTCGGCTCAGGTGGGGCTTCCTTGGGCAGTCCTGGGGCAGTCCAGGCCGACTAGAGGCTCTCTTGGGGGTCTCTTGGGCCGTCTTGGGGCGATACTGGAGACCTCCCTAGCTGTTGTGGACGCTGCTAAGACCCGGCCAGCGAATGTGCTGAAAGGGCACGCTTCCCGAAAAGACTGAAGCGATGTTTGCGTTCTGGGAGCCCTGTTGAGGGCGTCTGGGCCGTCTTGGGGGCCTCTGGAGGCCCTCTGGGTCTTTCTTGGAGCGCTCTTGTGCTGTCTTGGGTTTCTCTTCGGCCTCTCTGATCACCGCTCTGATCGCTTCGGGGCCTTGTGAGGGCCTGTTGGGCCTCTTTTGGGCTCATGTGTGGAATCCTTGGGCAGTCTTGGGGCCATCCAGGCCGTCTATAGATTCTCTTGGGGGTTTCTTGGACCGTCTTGGGGCGATATTGGAGGCCTTTTTGGCTGTCCTGGACGCTGCAAAGACCCGAACAGCGATTGTGCTGAAAATGCACGTTTCCCTACGCGAATGAGGCGATTTCTGCATCATGGGCTCTGGAGGCCCTCTGGGTCCTTCTTGGAGCGCTCTTGTGCTGTCTTGGGCCTTTCCTCGGCCTCTCTGAGCACCGCTCTGATCGCTTCGGGGCCTTGTGAGGGCCTGTTGGGCCTCTTTATGGCTCATGTCCTTGTGCAGTCTTGGCGCCATCCAAGTCGTCTACAGGCTCCCTTGGGGTCTCTTGGACCGTCTTGGGTCGATACCGGAAGCCTTTTTGGCTGTTCTGAACGTTGCAAAGACCCGAAAAGCGATTGTGCTGAAAATGCATGTTTTCCATACGGGAATCAAGCGATGTCTGCATCATGGGAGCCCTGTTGAGGGCCTCCTGGGCCGTCCTGAGGGCCTCTGGAGGCCCTCCGGGTCCTTCTTGGAGCGCTCTTGTGTTGTCTTGTGTCTCTCTTCGGCATCTCTGATCACCGCTCTGATCGCTTGTGGCCTGCTGGAAGGACCGGCGAAGCGCCCTGGGAGGTCCAGGACGAGACGGGGGGCCTTTGGCAAGGATGTCCATGGTGCCCAGAAACCCGCGATCCTGGGGGTGCTGTTTGGGGGTGGGGTGACAGGGGTTTCCCCCCCCTTGGCTTACAAAAATAATTATAAGAACAGTTGTGTGTATATATACATATATCTATATATGCCTGTAATTATGTATATGTTGGGGCGCTCCGAAAAGGGCCTCGCCTTTGAGGGGTCGAAAGAGTCGGCATCTGTTCCTCGGTGGGAGGCCTGCGGACGCAAAACGGAGGCGGCTCCGCTGGCGGAAGCCGGCGGAAGGCCTGCGGAGGCTTGCGGGGGCAAGCATGTTGTCGCCACGATGTGCCATTTTTTCCGGGGTCAGACTCGGGGCTTCCAGGACCCGCCATCTGCAAATTTGATGGTGTTTTTTTCAGGTGGCGTTCATTCAGCGGGATTGGCATCATTGCCATCCTCCTGCCAGTCATTCGCATTACCTTGCAGGCCACTCTTCCAGCTAGCGTCTGCTTGCAATGCTGTCCAACTGTTTGATCGATATCTGCACGGCATGAGTTGTTACATCAATATATTTGTTTGGGTATGACTATGCTCTTCATCATCTCTGCACTCATTCTCTACCTCTTCCGTTTCCTCGTTATCTCCGTCCCCGCCCCATTCAAGTCTTCCTCGTTGTCCTCGTCTGTCTCCTCAGCTTCCTCCTCCTCCTCTTCCTCCTCCTCCAATCAAGCCCGCTGCGCCCAGCGCCGCGCTTCTTCACACTGCTGGCATCGGGTGCCTCGCCACTGCACGGCACGCCCTGCGGCCTTGAGACGCCAAATGAACTCCTGGGAGATACGGTCGCTCCTCCTCCTCCTCCTCCTCCTCCTCCTCCTCTTCCTCCTCCTCCTCCTCCTCCGCCTCGCCATCGTCGTCGTCCTCCTCCTCCTCCTCCTCGCCATCGTCGTCGTCCTCCTCCTCCTCCTCCTCCTCCTCCTCCTCCTCCTCCTCCTCCTCACCATCCGTAGCCATTTTGGCTCAAGCCGTTCCCTGTCGCCCCGTCCCGCGTCCCGCCTAGCGCTCGGGTGCAGGACTGCTTGGGAGATGGCTGCGGTCGGCTGCACGGCCGCCCTCGGGGCAGCGAAGCAGCCTGCGGCCGCGGCGGGCCCCCGCTCGCTGTGGCCTGTGCGCCGCGCCAGGCAGACAGCTGCCCGCGGGGCGGCGGCTGGGCGCCTGGCGGCTGCCCTCCAGAGAGTGAGACGAGCTGGAGGCGCAGGTGGAGGCGCTGCTGGCAGCGGGCCAGGCGGCGGCCCAGGCGGCGGCCCAGGCAGCGGCTCGTGTGCTCCCCGCGGCGCAGGGCGTCGGCGGGCACGAGGCTACTGGTGCTGCGGCTCCCGTGCAGGGCGCGGCGGCCGCCGTCGGTGCGGAGCTGGTGGAGAGGCTCACGCTGAGCGTGCCCGTCCTCAGGGCCGACTGCGAGGACGGGGAGGTCAGCGCGCTCGACGTCGGCAAGCGCAACGTGGTGACGCACCACCCTGCGGTGCCTGCCCCCGCGCTGTGCGCGCCATGTCGCAACGCGCGCTTAACCGCGTGCAGCGGGAGGCGCGCAGGACGGCGCCGTGGCGGAGGCTTGGCAGCAGGCGCGGCTGTCGCGCGCCCCTGCTGCCGCCGTGCCGCAGGCAGCCTGCCGTGCGGTCGACGGCCGAGGCTGTGCCGCTCGAGTGGGAGGTGAAGCTTCGGCGCGGACGCCGCGTGGCTGGCAGTGCACCTCCAGGCTGGCGTCCAGTTCGCCCTCGCCGAGCGGGTGTGGCGTGCCGTCAGCCCACCAGCGAGGGGGCCCTTGGCGTCCAGAGCTCTCTGGTTCCGCGCCCCGGCCATGGGCAAGCAGTGTCGTGGAGCTGGTGGTCTCCGTGGCGGCGCTGCCGCTGCTGATGAGGATCCTGCTACTGGCGGAGACGATATCGGGCGTGCTGGTGTTCAGGCAGCGCAACGCGGTGGCGCTCTGCTGGGGCAGGCTGGAGGTAGTCATTACGGGCAGGCTGCTGGTGCCCCTGACTTTCGTGGCGACGATGGTGGACAAGATCTTCTGGTCGTTGGAGGTCTTCGTGGGGATGCTCATGGGGATGCTGCCCCTGACCAGCGCGAAGACGATGGTGGCCTACAAGGGCGTGCAGGCTGTCATGCTCTTCGGGTCGCTGGGGGTCTTCCTGATGCTGAGCTTGGGCATGGATGTCGTCCTGGGCGGGCCGGCGGTGGACCAGATGGCGGGGACTCTCTTCGGCATGCGGGTGGCGCCCCTGACCCACGAGGTGATGAGGATGGCTTTCTTGATGCAGCTGGAGTTTGTCCTGAAGTTGATGGCGATGACGATGGTGTTCGTGCCGCTCAACGTCGCTCGCGACCTGCTGGAGTCGCCGAGGCCGTCGGCAAGGTGCGGCTCAAGGTGCTGCAGCGGCACATGGCGACGACGTCCGACAACACCGACTTCGACCGAGACCTTCGGAGGCCAGGCTGGCGCATGGAGGCGGAGGCGGACAGTCCGACGCCCGCCACGGCGGCCGAGCGTCGAGCGGGTCGGGCCTGGCTTCGTGGTGGCCGCGAGGCCCGTGTATCCATGAGCGAGGCCTGGATCAGTGGCGATGTCGACGATCGTGGCGGCTGGGTCTCAAAAAGGGCCTTGGATCGCTATTGTCGGGCCACGGGTCGCTGCTGACCCTGGCAAGTTTCATGGTTTGCTCGGCTCCGAGTGCGCAGAGGACGGATGAATGCGTTGGCTTCGACGCGGCGCGCACTTCGAGGTCACGCGCGTCCGTGGGGGTCGCGCCGTAATGAGCCTTGGTGCGCGTCGAACCCTGCGGGGTTAACCGGCCCATCCCCCATGTCTAGCCAGCGGCAGAGATGCGACGAGGGATTGACTGCGCACTTTGGGGTTCCCTTGGCTTTCAATCGAGGGAGCCCCCAGGACAGAGAGCAGGCGACCTGCTCACAGGGGAAGAAGTCGGCGAGCTTTTTTCCTCAGGGGGGCCCTGTCTTGGCCCCTGGCTGGTCTTCGGCCTTCCAGCCAGGGTGACAGAAAGGTCCTCTCCGACGGGCCCCCCTGGAGGGTTTTTCGCTGGTCCGTCGGACTCTCTCTTTCTTCTCTTTCTCCCTCAGTGGCGTGCGATCCTCCTCGCCATCGTGGTCGTCCTCCTCCTCCTCCTCGCCATCGTCGTCGTCCTCCTCCTCCTCGTCCACATCCTCCACCTCCCGCCCCCCCTTCTCCCCCCGCCCCCATCGGCCGAGGCGAGGCCCCTCTGCGGCCCGGGGCGCCCGCCCCCCCCCCCCCCCCCGAAGCGGCCCTCTCGAGAGTCCCTTCGCAAGCCGCCGCGGGCCGCCTGTGCGGAGGGCCATGGGCTTCCAGCTTCGTTCTTCGATGTGGGCGCCCAAGGGCACTGCATCCCTACCGCGCACCCTCCTGATCCGTAGCATGACGGGCGCAAACTGAGAGGTTGCGCTTTTGTCCGGCGGGGCCCCTGAAAGCTTCTCGGCTTGTAGGTCCAGGGCCACCTTGCGACGTTCTTACGCTGCCTCGAGCTTGCGCCCCTGGCGCTCTCTTGCTAAGGCAACCCTCCTCTTCGCATCAGCTGCAGCCTGGAGCTCGCGCGGAGCGCAGTCTCTACGTCAGGCGTCAGGCCCTGGTCGGCGTCCAGGGAGCATGGGTTGGTTTCGAAGGGGGCATCTACTTGATGGCATTCTGCTTCAAGTTTTCCTGTGAGCGGAGTAAACGGCCAATTCTGCTCCTCGGTCCGCCCCGCTCATTGGACCCCCCGAGACAGCATACGCAAGAGAGGGGAGGGGAGGGGATGGAGCAGGTCTGGACCTAATCGCTGTTTTGCTGAGCTTCGGCTGTGTGTTGTTGTTCGTTGGGGCAGGGAGGTACAGGAAAGCAGGTGGAGCAGAACGAGAAACATAACGAAGCACAAAACGACAAACAGCGTCTAGGTCCAGCCCTGGACTGGAGGAAGAAGGCAGGGCGGAGCCCGAGGGGATGCCTGGGAGAGCGGGCGTGTTCGAGGCTGCCGCACAGAAGCGGCCCAGGTTTGCGATGGCACGGCCGCCAGAGAACAGCGACAGCGACGATTCGGATGGCGGGGACAACGGGCCGGGAGGTCCATCTGGGCTCTCGTCTGTGACCGTTGTGGTCGCGCTGTATGCGGTGATGCTGGTGGCTCTATACGCCGGGTTCATCATGTTCGAAGGCATGACGCCCGTCACTTGCATCTACCTGATCGTCCAGATCGTGACAACAATCGGATATGGCGACGTCACGCCCAAGAGCGAACCTGTAATGGTGTTCGTTGCGTTGTTCACGATCATGACTCTGGTCGTTCTTGCGTATTTCATGAACCTGCTGGTTCAGATGGCAAGCGCTCGCGAGGAGGCAGTTTTGGAGGAGCTCGTGAATAGCGTGGGCACCCTCTCTGAGGCCCACTTGGCCGTGCGACAGGACCGTGTCTCGGCCGAGTGTCGAAAGCTCGGCATTTCAACGCTACTATTTTTGGGTTCGATTCTGTTCGGGACAGTGTTCTACTCCATTTATGAAAGTTGTTCATGCTCGTACGGGGAGACGGAACTCGCAGGGTGCGATGACACAGATTACGGCACGTGTGTTGAGACAAAGGGCGCAACAAAGTCGATGTCCGAAGCCTTCTACTTTTCGGTTATTACCCTCACGACAGTGGGATTTGGTGATTTTACTCCAGAGTCACGTGTTGGCCGGTGGGTGGGCATTGCTTGGATGATTTTCGGTGTCGGCGCGACGGCAAATTGGATCGGAGCTTTATCGTCTTTCTTTTTCGAGAGAAACAAGAGCCATAAACAACGTGACACACCTAGTTCAGACGAACTGTTCGAGACTCTTGACGCAGACCACGATGGGTGCTTAACACGCGCCGAACACCATGTGTACCTGCTCCGCAAGCAAGGCATATTGTCTGATTCAATGTTGCAAACTCTCAACGAGCATTTCGACACACTCGACGTCAACGTCCGCGGCATGCTAGATATAAAGCAAATGCATGAGCGCAGCGCCATTCCCGGGTAGACGGAGAGCGATTACGTTGGTAGAAAAGACCGGTTGGACCATAGAGGATGCACGCAAAATGTTGTCGTCTCCTTTGTCTCATGGTCTCGTTCTCCTTCATGTTTTTCTTCTTTCTCCTCCTCATCATCCGCTTGCGCTTCGATTCTTAGCTGGCGTTGCCCGCAAATCTTGGCGCACCCATTTCGTGACACACGTTTATTTCCCGCCATCGCTTGTGCGAGATCAACTAGCAGAGTGCCTTTTCCTCACCATTGCTTGCTGTGCATGTCGTCCATTTTTCTCTCAGTGGAATCCACATTACGAGGGTCAAGACGTCGCCTAGAACTCTGGGGCCAGAGACATAAGAAATGAGCGAATGGTGTGCGCGATGTCTTCTCATCCCGTCTCCTCTTTGATCCGTTCTCCTCATCATCCTCCCTCTTCCCTTCTCGCCCTCTTCTTGGTAGTCCTCCCTCAGTCCCCATCCAGGATCCCATTGGACTGGACGCAATGATCTTAGCCAACGAACATAGAATCCCCATGGGCTGGCCTGGCGGGGATCACAGAATGGCGAGTACCGATCGACCGACCTCACCCTCCCTCCTCTTTCTTCCTCTTCCTTGCTGCCCCCCCCTCCATCCCTCCTCATTTCCCCCTCCCCTCCGCCCTCCCTCCTTGTTGGCTCCTGTTGGCTCCGATGCCGTCTGTCACCGCTGGCAGGGCCTGCAATCAAGCAGCGAGACACAGCGTTTGGGGGCACATCAAATTTGAATTGGCAGGCGCCTTCTCCTTGGACACCCAGCAGGCGCTCTGTCAGTCGAGCGGGACGGATCGCCCCAGGTAGGCTGTCGTATTTGGGTCGACCCCCGCTCTTCAACATTCTGAGAGTACCCTCCGCGTGGTGGTTTCGCGGGGATCTGTGGCATTCCCAGGCGGGGTAGGGACGGGCTCGAGAGCGCCCAGAGACTCCGCAGCGAACGCACCAGGCGACCCGACCCACCCTCAGCCACATCGTGGGAAGAATGACCCCGTACTCCGCTGCAGCACGAGCCTCCCCTCGCTCTCTCCGCAGTGCAGACGCAGATGGGAACAATCGGTCTTCGGACCTCCTCCTCCTCCTCCTCCTCCTCCTCCTCCTCCTCCTCCTCCTCCTCCTCCTCCTCCTCCTCCTCCTCCTCCTCCTCTTCCCTGAAGCCAACTCTCCAGCAAACAGGGCCTGGCCCAACGGGGCCGTCGAATTCTGGAAACACCCTGACATCCTGGCAGCCACAGCCTCCACTGTCTCGGCAGTTAACCATGCTTCCTCCTCCACCTCCACCTGCCCGCAGCAGCTTGGTCCCGTGGCCCATTGGGTGCGTCCCGTCCCTGCTCCCTGGCCGCCTCCCGCTGAGAGCGTGGTCGACGCCAGCGGGTGTTGCACCGGGACACCGCCTGTTGCATCTGCAACGCGATTGTCGACCAGTTGCCGATCGGACAATTCCATTTACCTTTACAGCCGGGGCGGCCCAGACCGTTTGATCCACGGCGAGTAGTTCCAGAGTTGCTCCACCTCTTGTCGACGTGAGCCACTGTCGTTGCGGCCGCAGGGGGAGTAGTGGTCTCACTAGTGGCGACCTCTCCTCTCTGCCGATGTCCTGCCCATGGCCTCTCAGCGAGCGCCTGTCACAGGCGGCGCATTCACCATCCAGCTCAGGCACCAACTCGACGCACGGTATGCACACGGATTGCCCTTTACTATTGCGCCCGTTGCTCCTCATTTCAGCTCTAGTTCATGCCCTGGCCCCAGTCAGGATACCGACCGACCCCATTGTGTTGGCACCACCCAGGCCAATACCAGCTGTTCTGGCTATGCCCACGTTGCCACGTTCTCTTGTGCCCCTGACCAAACAATTATCTTTCCTTTTTCCTTTTTGGGAGTCGCCCTGAACAGCGACAATGTTCCTAGTTCTGACAAGGTTACGAACATCATCCTTTGGTCTGCATGTGGTGCCGTCCTATGTTTTGGGTCTGCCAGGCACCCGCTTACGCGCATGGCTCCCATCAGGTTGCCGCAGATCACAAAGGCTCCAACCAGGGGTATCGCCACCTCTCGTGGCTCTGCCAAGGCTACCGACCTCCTCCTACCTCCTACGTTGGCTACGTTCAGGCTGCCGCCGACCTCATTGGCTGTGCTCAGGGTGCCGATCTGACACCTGGAGCCAACGAGGTTGCCGCCTTGGCCTCGATCCCAGCATTGGCGTGTGAGCGTGTCCGCTGAGCATGCCGCACATCGCCAAAAGATGGATCGCCTCCCCCTTTAGCCCCTCTATCCGTCCGTTCCCCACTGCCTTCGTCCGCTTCTCCGCTCTCCAGAGCCACGCTTCCCTGCACGGGCTCACGTACTACAGGTCTGTGCGTGTGCCCTTCGCGACTTGAATGGCGGTGGGGCATCGTGACTTCAGTAGAAGCTCATGCCAAGAAACACCCTGTCCGCCTCCCGGGTGCCCTGGGTTTGTTGGGTGTCGATGCTTTCGCTAAGGGAAGCGTGAGGTACCCACGCCAAAAATCAATGAGCGTCCTGGGGTCTCAGGGTTGGGTTTCTTGTACAAGGTTTCTTGTGGTCGAGCCCCTGCTGTAAGACGACTGTCTCTCCTTTCACCGTGTTGGAGATCCACGCGCTGGTCCCTTAAGTCGGGCATGTCCCTCTTCAGGGAGAATCTTCAAAAGTAGTAACAACACAGTCTGGGACGACTGTTGTACTCTAGTTGACTAGTTTTAAATATGTTTGGATTACTGCTCGTTTTCTTTTTCAATTCAAAAAAAAACTATGGGAGGACATGCCCGACCTAACGGTAGATCGAGACCCTCGGCAGTTGGAGGGGCCCACCCCTCACCCGCCCGATCGTTTCTCCACCCGGGGGCCAGTGGAGCAGCCTCGCCGCCACCAGCGCGCACGTCACATTGTGTTCACCAGCCTTGAACTTATCCCTATCCCTAAGATTGACACGCCGAAAGGCGATGGCAATCTTAGGAATACGCCCTCAAACATTGAGGGAATGCATAAGATTGGAATCGTGATAGGGGCGATGCCCAGCATAGGGATAGGGATATGTTCCAGGCTGGTAATATACGTGGAGCACTGGCGTGCAGCACATCCTCGAGCACAAAAGAACCCCCAGTAACCCGAATAACACGATGAAGACGTGGCCTCACTGAGGTCCCCGTCTTCGCATTTTGGAGAATAGATCTGTGCGGTCTGGTCTGGTACATCTGCAGGAAAGACCCCCCTTATCCCTAATTTGGTTTGGCCCTCCTAACTTAGGTTCACTCCCAAAAGGTCAGGGGGTCTTTTCTAGTTCAGCAGCACAGGGCACGCGCCGCGTCCGAGCATTGCCCTTGTGTTGGCTTATGTTGCGCAGCTTCAGCGGCCTGCTCTCCTCCAGCCGCATGGTGCTCCGGTGCATGGTGACGGGAGGACCTTGTGCTGTATGATTGTTTGCACGTGTGTGGCATTGGCACCGCACGGGCAGGGTTGCCCAGGTTGGGCACCGATGTCATTCGGCCAAGGCAGTTTGGGCAGCGGTTGGCACAAACAGTCTGGCCAATGAGAGCAGCGTTCTGCAGGACAGGGCACCGTGCTCTAGTGGCTCCCACTTCCATGCCCACCCTCGTTCGCAACGCTCCCGCTGTCGCGCGCTTCCCTCCGCCAGTCGCCGCCCTTGGCCGAGCTGAGCAGCATAGCCCATGGCGGACCGCAAGGCGGGAGGGGCCTTGCAGATTGGATGACGCATACGGTCGGGAACTTTTGGATAGCGTGTCGCTCAGCCGGTGCCGGCCCACCACGCTTCGGCACGACACGCTATCCCTTTCCCAGTTCCCAGGCGTCCGCGTCCCGAGCTCTTCCGAGCCTACTGGCCCGCGGAGCGGAGCGGCATCGCATCCGCTTGCAAGGCATAGCGTGTCGCTGGGGCTGCCGTGGCGACAACGTTGTCCAAACGTTACGGGCAGTAGCCTTTGTAAGCAGCAGTGTGGACAGGATGTGATTGGTCGGGACGGTGAGGGAGAGCTAATGGTTTACGCTCGATGGCACGAGGAGTAGAAGAAGGAGGAAGGGAAGCGACCGGCTGGCCCTGTGGTGCTGCACCGTTGCGTAATACACGTCTCCCGCCTCTCTATACTGTAGCCTCGCCTCTTGGCACTATTGTGGGTGTCAGTCTTTGCATGCGACTGGCCTGAGAAACACACGTGTAACGGAGAATTCGCAGCGATAGTTTCACAAAGTGGTGGGGCATCTTATCAAACATACAGGTGGCGATGATTGAACTAGACCACTGTGAACATTTCTTGGCAAGGGCGTTCGAGCCATCCCCCCTCGGTGACAATGGTGTAGCAATGAGAGGCCGGGCACACATGAGTACGCGATAATCCCCAACGAACCATTTAATGTATTTGGTCAAGCAAACTGGTTATCAATCTGACAACGCATGGACCGATGTTCAATGACGACCTCATCGCAAGCAAGGCGCGTATTGAATCCGTGGCTAACAATATACATAACATCGTCCACGCCCAATTGGCAAAACAAATGCACAACGATGTCTCGAGACAACGTACATCGCGTACAATCGAAGCTGTGTCAATGTCCACGTCAACATGCATCTTGTAAGATGCTAGCAGGCGTGGTCCATGACATGTTGGACGTGCCGTAGAAAAGCGAAACCTTGGCAGGATTCGCGCGATGCAGCCCCTTGCCTAGATGTGAAGTAGCTGACGTTCTAGCGCGCATATGGCGCACTATGAAGATACCAAGTGATACCATGTTTCGGGAGCCATGCGTGTGCCAGGATCGAATTATCGAAGACGCCTATGGCGAACCATCGTCGGCCCCCTGCCTGTTGGAAACGCCTGTGTGGCCAAAGTTGAGGCCGAAGTCTTGCTAAGCTATTGGGCTTGGGCAGTGTGTTTCTCGATCCGCTGTGGAACCCCATGGGGGGGCATTTGGAGTAGAACGAGGGGGGGGCGAGGGAGGAGGAGGAAGGAGGAGGAGGAGGAGGGGGAACATGAGGAGGAGGACGAGGACAAGGAGGAGGAAGATGAGGCCTCTTGAGGCATCATGAGGAAGGTTCTTGGGGGTTCCGTGGGGGCCTCTTGGGGCCTCTTGAGGCTCTCTTGGGGCGTCTTCGGGGCCCTTTGGGGGCCTGTGCGAGGCCGCTTGGTCTTCGGAGGCAGTCGGGGAGGCCTCACCCCGCTGACTTGGGACCTTCTTGAGACGCTTTCGGTTTTTCCGGAGGGGAAAAAACAGAGACACAATTAATCGTCGACTCCTTCGAAACTATGGGAAAGTATGGGAAGTGGGGAGACGATGAAAACTTAGAACATATAGAGAAATATGGGGAGTTCTGGGATGTGTGTCTATTTATGTGTGTGTCCCAGGGCCCCTTCAGTCTTTGGCCGCCTTGGGGCCCTCTGAGGGCCGTTTTGTGGGTTGATTGGGCCGTCTGGGGGTCCTCTTGGCCCGTCGTTGGGCC